CGTCGATGGGGCCTCGGCCCCGAGACGGCCCATCGGCGTTAGGACTTACATGTGATCCAGAGATTCCTGCTACGGGTACTCGAGACTGCCACACTCGTGTCTCGCGGGGAGAGGTTCCGCGTTGGCCAGTGCGGCGCTCTTGGTTATAACGCTGCGCGCTGTCGAACCAGCCGCACTGACCTGGCCGCCTGGCGCGGTCAAGGCGCGCACTATCTCGCGGCGGGTCTCGCGCGCATCCAGGGCAGGAGCACGGCGAATCGACTCCTGGAGCGACGCCGCACTTCCCCGGGGCCCGATGCGACGTGGATCCAGATGGCTGCGATGACTGCGGTAGCCGGGACTCTCTGGATACCGTTTAGCGTCTGGCGCATTGGCTGCCCGCTTGGCAGCTGGCACGGCGGCGACCGCCTGCGCGCCCGCGGCGCGCTTGGGAGCTCCAGTCGCCTTCGGTCGGGCCAGGAGCTTGCCCGTTGGCGCGGGCGCGGCTGCCGTTGCCGGCAGCGGCGCCGGCGCAGAAGGCGCGCCGGCCTCTGCCATGGAGGCCTCCTGGATGGGGCCCGAGTGGACGGGGTAGACGGATCTCGCCGCGTCGCCGATGCATCAGCGATGCAACGCCGATGCATCGGCGACGCAGCAGCGATGCACTGGCGACGTCGGCGGCGCATCGGCGACGTCGGCGCGGAGAGAATCGGGCCCACATCGAGCCGCATCGCCAACGCTTCGCCATTGCATCGCCGACGCGGCGCGATCCCCCGACCCCGCCTACTCCGACCCCATCTGGGAAGCCTAGATCCCCGGCCCCCAAGTTCCCGGAGAACCTCCGGGCTGACGCGGACCCCTGTAGCCGCGCAAAACTCTGCCACCAGCGCGAGGGAGCTATGCGTCGCGGCTGTGAGAAAGACGACACCTTGCACCGCGCGCTCAGCCGAGCGCCGCGGCCAGACCGGGAGCGCCTCGGCGCGTTGGCAGCGACCCGCGCCGACATCGAGGTCGCGTCGACATCCTGGAAGGCGCCGGCAGGCGCGGCGAGTCGGCCACGGGCGGCCCCTCGGCCGGGAGACTGCGCGACCGCGCGGCTCCCGGGCAACAATAATTAAACGCTGCCGCGCCCACGCGTGGCCGCGCGGCCACCCGTTCCCACGGCGGCGCAGATATGAGCCGCGCAGGGACAGGTCGCTCGACGGAGAAATATCGCCCGCGGCGCGCACGCACCAGCAAAATTTCCCCGCGGGAGGAGATGCACTGCGCACCCCCTGCGCAGCGTCTTCGCCAGGTCGCACGGTTGACGCGGCAATAGAGACCGCTGGGCGGCCCAGCACGACGGCAAGACAGCGCCATAACCACCACGGGAACATCGTTGGACTCGAGGTGCTGTAAGACTTTTTGCTGAGTAGTAGGATCGCCCAAATCAAAACCAGTCGAACAGCGATCTGCGAGGCGCGGGCTTCGCCGCCGCACAGCTCGCACAGGTCCGCGCCGGGCCCTGGAAGGCGGACGCCGGGGGCGCGGCGCGCTGGCCAACGATCGCCCCTGCCGCGCGCGATTCCGCCGGATGCTCACCGACTGGGAGCTCGCTGGCGCGCTCAACGGTTGCGCCCTGGAACAGCCCCTCGAGCTCCACCCCCGCGCCAAGGCCAGAGAAGTCGTCTCCGATGTTGTCGAACACGTCTTCTACCCTCTTGGGGCGCTCGACGGGAGCACGGCCACGCCAGTCGCGCGCCTTCGCGCGCTCTGCCCCCTCAGTGGGAAAAGCAATCGACGGGGGCACCTCGGCAACAATGAATGAGGTTCCGCCTGTCCAATCGCATGGCATGACCTCATGCGCAGTGGATCGCTCTCTCCAGCACGAGGCGCCGACGACGAGACTGCCCGGCTCGCGCGGAGGGCCGACGCGGGTCGCCCTCTACTCTGCCAGCCAGCGAGGCAAGAAAGACACGGCACAAAGTCTTGGCCGGCGCGAAAGAGGCCTTCCAGAGCAGCATGCGGGCCCGCGTCGCGGCGCCCCCGCTTTAATCAGAGATCCGGTAATCTTCTTTCGCGGTAGCGTTGATGCCTTCATCTGGATCGTCAAATGCAACATCGCGTGAGCAATCAATGTTTCAGCGCTCCATGTGTCTATGTTCACGCATCTCCTTGACAAGCACCCTATGCAAATCGGAATGGTCGGGCAGACGAACAGCCCGGGGCGGAGAGCGCTGGGCGCTCGACGAAGCTGCCGAAGCCTTCTCGCCGAGCAGAGCAGCCGGTGCATTCGCGGGCCCTAAAATCCTTAACTCTGCCCGAAAAAAGACCCTGCTCGGGCATGACCAGATCGCGCGTGGAAAACTTCTGCATCGATCCGTGGGACGTGACCGAGGAGCTCCCCATGCCGGGAGGGAGCTCCGTCGCCCTGTGCCGGGGTACTTGGCGCACCATGTCTGTGGGACAAGCGCGCCACGTGCTGGCCCCCTGTTCTAACGCCACGACGATAGAATGCCGTCTTGGCGCGCGACTCGATGTCAGGCTGCGATGCTAGCCCGAGCCAGCAGAGCCTGATAATGAGTCATGATTAGTAGACGCATGCCGAATGCTGGGCCGCGACCGCTTCAATGGCGCGACTGCGCTTCTTTGCCAAGTCTATTGCGGCACAGGGCATGTCGCGTCTTCGGCTCGTAAGTAGTCACGTGGCAACTACCTGGAAGGACTGCATGTATTCCGATGGTAGAAGTGGCTTGGCGGCATCATATTCCAAACAACTTGAAGTTCGCGCCGCGCGACTTGCTCGCCCATCCTGGAGTCGTCGATGACCATCACGAGGTGTCCTCTCGGAGCCCCCTGCAGCGGGGCGCGAGCGGCCCCGGCGGGCCGTTGGATCTGGGCGTCGCCGCCGCCGGGCAAGATTAGCTCGCGCTGACCCCATGAAACGCAAGCCGAGCAGGCCAGGCAGGTCATAGTAGCTTTGCCCCGTCTATCCGCGACGGCATTGGGGCGCTCACCTGACGCGCGCGCTCTTGGGCCTCGCTGCCAACCTGGGTGCTCAAAGGCTTGCTGATGAGAAGCTGCTGCGGCCAGTGCCCCGCCCCCACGGCTCGGCGGCGCAGCTGGCGCGGAGCTTCTCGCCCGAGGGGTCGGTCAATGAACCTGGGTCTACGAAGCCACTGTGCTCACCTGGAAGGAGCTTCGCGCGACTGTGATACACCTGAATAGCGCACTCGTTTGCTGGGCCAGCGGCTGGCCACCAGGGTAGCACGTCAGCTTCGCCGCCACGCGGCGAACCTCGAGGTGGCGAAGGTCCCCAGGCGAGAGCAGGAGCGCTGAAAGTGATCTCGCCGATTGGCGCGTCTCGCGGTGTGATCAACAAACGCTTGGCGCCGGCGGGCGCGCCCTCATCGGGCGCTTCGCGGGGCGAGGTGTCGATCTGAGTGTGCGCGACCTCGCGCGCCATCAGATGCTGCCTGCATTCTGGGCATTGTGGCGATGGTGCTCAGGCCTGGTCGCCACGGAGTGCTTCTTCCACTGCTCGCATCCGGGCGTTGTCGTAGCAAGTGGCGGCCCAGGTGCCGGCGCAGCTCTCCGCGAGACTCATGGAGCGCGCGAGCGCACGAGCGGCCCCACCGAGGTTGTGGACGACGGCAGCGCATTGCTGAGCGCTGCCCACGTCGGTGGCCAGCACGTTCCAAGCGAGCAAGTCCTGTACCCAGCGGCGAGAAAGGTACACGGACGCGCGCTTGGGTGACCATGCGGCCGGCTGGCGAGATGCGATGGCAACGTTGCCGCCGCCGCCCTGTGGGCCGGCTCCACCAGGCATCAGGCCCGTGAGCCAGAACGGGACGGCCACGAAGAAATGAGGGTGCCCCCCCAGAACGCCAAGACGAATATCCTCCACGGTAAGACATCACCACCATGATGGCTGCGTAGGCGCTTTGGAAATCGGGCCTGCGCAGAGACGAACGCCATGTCGAAGCGAGGGGCAGCCATGATGATGCCATTGTCAACTTTGGTCGAATCCAAGATCCGAAAAACTGACAATTTGGCTTGCAGTGTTCCACTTGGGTGGTGAGATGTGCTCACAAGGACAATCAAAACGATCGCACACGTACCAAAATACGGCGCCAGCCCAGGATGGAGCCTGGCAGTCATGCCCGACGCGAAGCTGCGGCAAGTGCCTGTGGGATTGCGATGGGTCGAAGGACGTCGTGGCGCTCCTGTGGGCGATTCGCTCCCCATCCCGGTTAAGCCTTCTGCTGTTGCCGTCCAAGTCGGACCAGATGCCCGAGGAGAGTTGCCGATTGGCTTGCAGAACAACCATAAGCACAGGCTAATCGAGGGAGGATGGGCGGTGTCCCGCTGCGGAAGCGAAGGTAAGTGCGAATGCGCGTCCGCACCGCACTCTTCGCACGTTCCGTGGATCGCGAGCTGGGATCGCTCCCAGCTCCGCAAGCAACTAAAAGTGCGGGGCTTGGAAGCTGTACGAGAGAAAACATGGCGGCAATAAAATGTAGATTGTGGGAGTGACACTCTTCATACAGTGAACAGATATGCGTCGACGCTCGTGCCAAACAGCGGCGACCTCTCCTATTCGCGTCAGGAGACAGAGCACACGAGGAAGGAGGGAGGAGGGAGGAGGGAGAGAGAAGGAGGAAGGGAGGAGGACGAGGAGGGGGAGGAGGACGACGAGGAGCAGGAGGAGAGGGGGAGAGGAGGAGAGGAGGAGAGGGAGGAGAGGAGGAGGAGGAGGAGAGGAACAAGAGAGGAGGAGGAGGAGGAGGAACAGGGGGAGGAGAAGGAAAAGGAGCAGACCCAGGGGAGAGGAGGACAGGGGACGAGCAAGGGCGGGGAGGAGCACTGCGAAAAGAAGCAGGAGCGGCAAAACGAGGGGCAAGAGCAGGCGAAGGGGCAGCCCATTCCTCCTCCTCCTCCTCCTCCTCCTCCTCCCTCCTCCTCCTCCTCCTCCTCCTCCTCCTCCTCCTCCTCCTCCTCCTCCTCCTCCTCCTGGAAAGAGGCCGCCACTGCTCCCCCGCCTTCTCGCCCTCCGCGCCCGCGGCCGGGGTTCGAAGGCGGTCCTCGCGCGGGAGGAAGGGGACAGGCGGCACATCGAGGACGGCGTGGACGACGAGGACGACGAAGACGACGAGGATGGCGAGGACGACGAGGACGATGAGGACAACGAGGACGACGAGGACGAGGAGGACGAGGACGGCGAGGACGAGGGGCGAGGGCGAGCATGCCGAGAACGGCGAGGACGACGAGGTCGCCTGTTCTGGCCTACACCACGCCAGCACGGCGGAGCCGGGCCATCCGCCCACCCCGAGCAGGATGAACAAGCTGCACAGGCGCCCCCCAGGCGGCGCGCGCACTCGGCAAACCATTTCCGGCTTCCCAGACCCCCCGTTGTATGTCCTCCTGCATCGGTCACGTCCTCATCCCCACCACCGCTGCCGTTCGCCGTGGGGGCGGCGGGATTTCTCAGAACCCCCCCCCGCGTTCTGAGAGGGTTTCGGTGCATCTTCGGGGGAAGCTCAAAAAAAAACTTCTCAACAGGCTGGGGGACTTCCGAGCCTTCTGAAAAGGCCTTCTCCTTTTCAATCACCCCCGTCGCTCGCCGCCGACCTTCGACCCTCCAATCCAGACATGCAACGTCTGAGTTGTTCAAGTCGAGGTCCCCGGAAATTCCGACCTTTTCCCAGGGGGGCAACTTCTCATCGCGAGTCGTTGCTTGACGGTCAAGGGGGCCCCGCGAGGGCCCCGTGAGGCCGAAAACTACCAAAAACCTTCTGACGCGTTTCGATAGACGACGGGAGCGTGTCTGGAATACGTATAGGGGCGCACAACGTGGCGAACTCCCCCGCAATTTCGGCCAACGTGTGCCGCGCAAGGAACACCTTGGGCGCACGTCGTCGCACCACGTACGCTTTTCGGAGTGCCGCGGCACGTTCCATCGCACCGTGGGCGCGATCACGCATGGGCGGGCGCGCCCTCGCTTTCCACCAAAAAGAACCCCTCCCCGGAGGAGGAGGAGGAGGAGGAGGAGGAGGAGGAGGAGGAGAAGGAGGAGGAAGAGGTAAGGAGGAACTGCCCCCGTTCTCTCGAAGATGGAGGAGGAGCAGGAAGAGGAGGAGGAGGATGACGAGGAGGAGGAGGAGGACGAGAAGTGCGGGCGGCAGAAGGCAGGGCAGGCCGGTTCCAACAAGTTCGCGGCACCGTCGAGAGCTCTAGGGCCCGCGCAACGAAGAATCATGACGTCGGAGCTGTGGATCCCCGTCATCCTCATCCCCCCTTCCCTCACCTGGGGGTTCGGACGCTTTCGGCGCCGACTCGCTCGAAGAGACGTGCCAGGACATCATCCAAACCGCTCACCTTGAACAAGTGCTCCTTGAATTGTTACCGGTGTTCGACGAATTGCCAAAACAATGAAACCTCGGGCCGGCACCAGCATCGACAAGCTTACCCCGCTGGACTTCAAAAGGCTTCCCGACCGTGCTCTCGAACAACTAGCAGGCTCCCTGACAAATGCCATGTACGCGAACTTGCCCCTGGCAGACCCCACCATCTCACGCTGCAAAAACGGGGTCTTGGCGGGGCCGTCGCACCTCGCCGCTGTCGCCCCTGATCCCAGGCCCCCAGGCAGCACAATGAGACTCCTGCAAGCCGCCACGGGACCGAAAGTGCAATTTGCGCAGCTCCTCGCCGTCTGGGCACGCTTCGGCCACCCGCGGACGGGATCCCCCAGCTGACATGGCAAGAGGGGGAGGACGGGAGAAGGCGGGACAAAAAGACCAAAGGGAATGGGAAAACCACGGCGACCCGACCAAAAAAGGAAGGAGGAGAAGGGGAGCGGCAACGGGCAAGCACGCAAGTGGGGAGAGGCGGAGGGCAGGGTGGGTGGGCGAGGGTCGTCGGCGGCACTCGGGGGATCGTCGTGGGTCGTTTGTGGGTCTGGGGATCGTCGCGGGCCGTCGGGGGGTTGTTGCGTCGTGGGCTGGGGGCCGCCAGGGGAAGGGGGAGGCAGGGGACGAGCCAGCCAGCCGACGAGCTTCACACTTTGGGCGGCTGCCCTCGACGTCGGCTCGACCCTGCGACGGCCTCTCCCACCATCAGTTTCCGCGGGAGACAGGCAAGACTGAAAGCGCCACGCCAGGGCGCCAGAACCTTGGACCGCCACCCGAACGACAGGAGCAGCAGAGGCCCCATGCACAAGAAGACACGGCAGCCCCACGCGGTGATCAGCGCAGTCCGCCAGCGTGGCAAACCACGCGGAGACGAGGGCGCTCACGAGCAACCTTGCAAGAGCCACTGCCGCGCGAATGCCCGCGCATTCAGGCTGGTTGCCTCTACGCCGCAGGCCTTGCTCCGCATCCAGCCCTCCACTGCCCCGCTGGTGGCTGCAGTGGCCGGGAGCCCGGCGCGCGCGGCGGCCGCGCTGTGTGCAACTGTTTGTTGCTTGGCCTGCGCGACGTCATGGCGTCGGTCGAGTGGAAGCGCGACGCTAGGGCGTTGGAACCTTCGACCGCCACCCGAACGACAGGAGCAGCAGAGGCTCCATGCACAAGAAAACAGGGCGGCCCCACGCGGCAATCAGCGCAGTCCGCCAGCGTGGCAAACCACGCGGAGACGAGGGCGCTCACGGGTAACCTTGCAAGAGCCACTGCCGCGCGAATGCCGACTCGGAGGACGAGTCGGACGAGTTCAGCGACGGGGGGTGAGGGGGGTCGGCCGCCGTGTTTCTTGCTGGCCCTCGGGCCACTGGCACCGCTGGCCACTGCCATGCCATGCCATGCCATGCCATGCCATGCCATGCCCTGGTCACCATCAGCACGACCATCAGCAGCAACATAGTCATACTCATCATCGTCATACTCATCAGCACCAACATCATCATCAACAACATTGTCATTATCATACGTTTGTTCATCCTCCTCCTCATCCTCCTCCCCGTCATCCTCGTCCCCTTCTCCCCCGAGTCTTGTACACGTTTGGCCCGCGCGCCGGGCCGGGCCCGGCCGCGGCGGCAGGGGCCCACGCGAAGCCGCAGGGAAAGAGGACGACGAGAAGGAGGAGAGGAGGAGGAGGCGATAGAGGAGAAAGAGGAGAGCGAGAAGATAGAGGAGATCGGGAAGATAGAGGAGGAGGAGGAGGAGGAGAAGGAGGAAGGAGAGGCGGAGCTGCTGGTGCCGCAATCTGCATCGATGCCCATATGAGTTGGCAGCGCCGTCTGCTTGTGGGCACCGCACAGCCTGGGTCTATAGTTTACCCGGGGGGCTATTCGGACTGAAAGGGAACACAAGGCCTGCAGCCGCTGCCTGAGCGCGCGCAGCGCTGGCAGTGACCCCACGGCGCGGAGGTAATTCAATCTAGAATTACAAATTAAGTATCTCGGCTTGGCTCTTCTATACAGGGCCCCCACCCCATCTTCCCATGTCGAGCGCTGAGCGAGCGGAGGTAGGCGAAGGGGGGAAGGGAGCCAGGTGAGGGAGGCCGAGGAGGGGAGGGGACACTCTGGATCAGGCTATTCTTTGCTTGCTGCTCACGGTGTCTCACTGGCCGCTCACGCTCTCTCGTTATGCTTCTCTCTCCTTCTCTCTCTCTCTCTCTCTCTCTCTCTCTCTCCCTCCCTCTCTCTGCGCGCCGATCCTCTCAGGCTGCCCTCATCGAGTACGCGAGCCCTCCCGCGGAAGCCTTGCCTGGAAGCTTCGAAAGGCCAGCCTCCCTGAGCCCGAACAGAGATGAGCCTGTTGACCTCTGCCCACGTGTAGCCGTTCGCCCCGCCGATCTCCTGAGGGTGGAACTTCTTGGCTGCGAGCTCCTCCTCCCGCTGCAAGCTCAGCCCTGCAAGCCAGTGACCCCCGAAGTGGAGCGCCAGCCGAGAGTTTGGGGCGGTCCTTTGCTTGGCTTGAAGCTCGCGCGCCATGCGCGCGATGCAGCAGTCCTCGAAGTTCGACGAGCCGAGAGCCCCCCTCGCATTGCCTAAGCGCTTGGTCGCCAGGAAGACACGTTGTGGCCCCTCGCTTTTGCCTTCGGTCGTCGCGCGGGCCAGCGTCGAGAGAATCGCTGCGCCTTAGTGAAGACGAGGGGAGACGCACTCGTGGCCCGCCCCTGCCTCGCGCGGGAGGCGCTCGCACATGGCGGCGGCCTCCTTCAGCGCCAAATAGACAGGGTGGCCCGAGGGGCCTTTTGAAGTGCACGCCCGACGCCTCCGCCCCTCGCATCCTCGCTTCCAGCTGCAACGAGAGTTTCCGCTCGTTCCCGTCGCTGCCCTTCGAGCCCACGCCTTTGCGTTTCTTCAGCTGCGCGTCGCCGCCAGGTCTCGCTCTGCTCCTCTGCGCCCAGCCACTTCGGCATCAAAGTCAATGAAGTGTTTCTCGATGCGCGGCAGAAGGCGCTAGCGCGCAAGATGGGCGTCGAGCGCTTTCAAGTTCTGAGCCTCAAATGCACACGACGGGCACACACTGACGTTGCGTCCCTGCCTCTTCGGGCCCCGCGCGCTGAAATCATGGATGCGCCTCTCGTTGGCCACTGAGGCTGATAGGCACCACTGGGCAGCGGCTCCATCTGTCAAGTTAGTGCTGAACAACATACAATAATACAACAAAGCGGCGACGCGGGGGGCGCGACCCGCGCCGCAGACGCGCCGCGGCATCGCTCCCGTGCCGGCCCTACCTTTCGCCGCGCAAACCCGCACACAGTGTGAAACCATGATCTTTCCGCCCAAACCAGCGCCACAGACAGGACAGAGCACCCGGGAAGCTCCCACCCTGCCCTCGGGAGCAGGGGGCCGCGGGGCCACAGCTCCCCCTTGGAGCCCTGGGGGGGAAACGCAATTCAAAGCTCCCGAGACCTAGATTCCGAAACGTCTATCTGGCAACAAACGCCCCTGGCCCCCGCGGCAAACAACACGCGCCCTCCCCCGGGAGAAGAAAAAGAAGAAGAAGGTAGAAAGAAAGAAGAAACAGCTGAGAGTGAACATATATATATATATATATATATATATATTTTTTTTAAAAAAAAAAAAAAAAAAAAAAAAAAAAAAAAAAAAAAAAAAAAAAAAAAAAAAAAAAAAAAAAAAAAAAAAACTGAATATCCAATAGCGCCGGGCCTTCCGAGGCCCCAACCAGGAGCCCGAGCGCCGTTCCATTGCTGCTGGGGCCGCGCATTAGCTGCGGGCAAAACTCTACCCTGATTATCCACATCACAATCTTTTAAATGCTCGGAGCGGGCGCGCCCTGCAAGAGCTGCAATCACTTGCCGGCGCGCTTTCTGGCGGGCCGCGATGCCCTGGAGCCACGCGAGCCCCCGAATGCGCAGCCCCGTGAACAGCGCGTCAAACATCAGACGCCTCTGGACCTCAAGATTGGATGGGGCCCTAATCTGACCGAGTTGCCTCTGAATACGCTCGCCCCCGAGCACAGATCTCGAAAACTTGTAAACCAAGTGCCGCGAGGGGGCGGGCGCCCGATACGCGACGGGGGCGCGCGCGTCGAGCGCGAACGCCTCGAGGCCCGAGAGGGCCGCATTGATGGCGAGCCCCACGCCATCGAACCCCATGGAAGTCCTGGCGGCGCAACAGAACTTGCCCATCTCATGCCAAACTGCGCGCATTGCCTGCGCCCTGAACTTCCTCTCCGCAGGGGGGGGGCCATTGGTGAAATGCTACCGACCTCCAAGATACCTTGCTCCTGCTACGACCTGCCCGTCGATATGTCGCTTGCGATCATGAATGGCTCTGTTCAAAGACCCCGCCGTTCTTCCTGCACCCTGCACGAGATCCTTCCGTTCGTCGACGTCTGCGCCCCCCCCCCCAACAAAAAAAAAAAACTGCGCGACGCGATCCGCGACGCACATCCCCGCTCAGGAGCCGCTCAGCAACTGCGGCCAAGTGCTGCGCAGTCGAGCCCACGAGCATGCGGGCAATATCATTCACAGCAGCCGCGTCTGTGACCGATTGGTCATGCCCTGCCCGCAGTGGGAGGGGTAGCAGAGTGTGAAGTGCCCGTTCCCATGGGCCTGTGCCCATCTCATTAATCAGCATTTGCACGCCGCTGCCGTAGGCCATGACGAATAGCTTGATCGCCGCATGGCCGCCCGGTAAAAGGCCGCTCTGGCATGTCATGCGCCCGCTGCGAACGCCGTCGCCAATCGTGAAAATGATGTTGCGGGTCCGCCGGTAGAAGATCCACTCGCGATGCCAATGCTAGTTCATCAACTGCTCCTTCTGCTCGAGACTTGCGAGTGCAACAGAACGCACTGCTTGCATCGTGGAATGTCGCGGCGCGGCGCACACCTCATCGTCGCAACCTGGCTGATCCACGCATTCGAACCAGCATGGCGCCCTCCCGTCTTACGCGAGAGATGCCTCAATGAGCCCAGCACGGAGGGCACGCTTTGGGACCCATGAGAGATCGGAAATTGGATCTCCCCAGGCTGCAGAAAATCGCAATGGGCCCAGCAACGTTCCCCATGTCATTGTGCCCGGGCAATCCACGGCAACGAGCCCGGCGCCGAGCTGCTGGCGCCCGTCCCACATGACGAGCAGCGCGACAAAATAAGTAAGTACATCTCTCAGACATGGTTGCCTGAAGTTCAGCCCCTGGAGCCCGATGGCCCCCCGTAACTGTCGCGCGCCCTGGGTCAGCTATGTTCAGAGCCTGGCACTCCTGGCCGCGACCCAGGAGACCCCTCACAC